CTTAAATTTGAAAATATTTCATAGTTATTATTAGATGAAATTTGTTTAAATCTTTTGTGAGCAATTTTTTTTTCGATTATAACATTCTTAAGGTCTTTAGAGAACCAAACTGGAAATTTATTTTTAAAGCGCTTTTTTTTGGGACGTACAGTTCAAATAAATAGGATAAAATTTCATAAAACGATGACAAACATATATTAACATCATTGTTTAAAAACACCAAATCCCAATTAATAATACTCAAATGAGCATTTAAAGAATCGAAATCAGTGCTTTTAAAATCAGAATAGACATATTCATAATTCATTAACTCTTCACTAGAAAGTTTAACATTTATACAAATAGCAGGATGGTAGTTATCACATTTGACTAGAGTTTCATTGGCAATCTCACTTGTAGCAATGTTTTTGTTCTGTATATACAACTAATTGTTAAAACTATTTATTTCCACCTTCTTATAACTTCTTACTATAGTAAATGACATTTTATAGGTTAATTGTGTTGTTTTTGTATCCAAGTAAACGATACATTATGGGAACAGACCTTTAATACTTTACGGGCTTGTATAAAAGACCTGTAAAGTTTTACAGGCTTGTAGAAAAGCAATTTATGAAATGAAATGTCACATTTGACATATTAATTAAAATTTGAAATTTGAAAATCGTTATCTAAAGGTGAAAATAAAAGTTTGTACGTGTCACGCTTTGCAATTAATCTATACTAGGCTCGCTGGAACATAAACTTCCAGCTCGCCTGTAAAGATTCATTTACAAAGCTTGACACGTAAATAACTATTAGAGGTGTCTCTCTGTAAACCTGTAAAGTTTTTGGAGACGAATAAACTGATTTTATTATTATTATTATTATTATATGATAACAAATTTTTTAATTAAAAAATTAAATTTTTCATCATATATGTAATCTCGAATATTTCGGAAACGGTTTATTTTATCGAAGTTTGAAAAGTACACCTTTTTAATGGTAGCCGAACTGGGTAATCTAAAAATTGCATCAAATGTTATAAAAACCTAACCTCAAAGTTTGTATGGGACAATAAGCTTAAAACAACCCCCGTTTCTACGACACTGTGTTCACTCAAACAATTATAATTATGTGTGAATATGTGTTTTGGAAGTAAGTGACTGTTCGCAAAATATCACCTTTGGGGCCGTTTAAGTATTACGTAAGCAGATTTACTACAATTATTAACCCCCCCTCCCCCTTGTCAGCAAAAGTAATCAAAGCTCTTATCCCCCCTCCCATGCTTACGTAAACATTGGTCTTTTGTTTTCAAGCATAGACAATGTGTGGGTTGCCATATGTGTAAAAAAGTTAATAACTACTGCTGACGTAATCACAATCTAGACCCCCCACTCCCCATGTCATCAAAAATAGGCAAAGCAAAGACCCCCCGCCCCCCTATAGTGCTTACGTAATACTTGAACGGCCCCTTTCCAAGACTACCATAATATGGTAATATTATAATATTCAAATATTATTAGAGGTTATATTAAAAAAACTGATATGATAAGTAACACTTTATCACCCTGTATCTTGGAAACATAAGTAAATAGGAAAAATATTTATTTGGATTTTCGTCTTATTTGCTTGCTTGCTCAATCTTTTCCTAAATTTGTGCCAATAAGTTTAGGGACACCTTGCATAATATATATTGATATATACCCGATATATCGGGTATATATCATTTAGGTAATTTAAAACATTTATGTATTAATGCCTAGACAAGCTATAACCTTATTGGAATGTATATATATGTAACCTTTTTGAATAAAAAAATACACTAGAAGTATAATATAATTATATTATATGTAATACTAAAATAATATCAATCGCTGATGCAATGTTAATTATTTAAACTTTTACCAATTAACTAGTAATTATAGGTATTCTACACAATAGGATAGAATTATCACAAAAAAAATCACGTCAAAAACTAGGTGCAGGGAGTTATCTTCCTGTTTCTTTTGAGAAAATCCTATTTCAGTCAATATCACGTTTATTAAAATTGGTGAAATGAACATGGGGTTTTACCATGATAATACAAATCGGTAAAAAATTATTTTAGCTCATAAAATTCCACAAATATTGTTTTATTAAATAAAATTTAATAACCAAAATTGTTATTATTGTTATTAAAATGTTATTTGTTTAATTAACCATATTGTTCATAAAGTTAATGTTTTGTAAAAATATCTTAAGAAACTATTATATTTCGTTAATTCCATGAACATTGATTAAATAAATAAATTATTATAATTCAATGTTTACAAATAGGTATTCTTATATTTTTTATTGAGACACAGGGTGAATTAGGTTTTTTATTTTTTTATTATATTACAACAAAATACCAAAATACAATATAATTATTTATCTCCAAGCGGTCTATAAATTAAACTTTATTATTGTCAACACTCTACACTAAAGTGAACGATTATGGTATAGGCACATAATAAATCTATATTGACTAGTAATTAGTTGTTAGCTATAGTGATTGGCCAATTTTATTATGAACTGAATTCGACTTCTGTCACACATGTTCTAACCTCATTTTCTACTTTTAATAATTGGACATTTTACGTATCCTGCTTAAAATTGTATTACTATTTAAAAATGTATTGTCATGAGGCATGAATGCGGTTATATTTAATATAATACTGCTTAGGTACTTTAATATAATTTTAAACATAAAGGCATGACAATACATTTTTAAATAGTACACAAGTACAAAGTACATTTTTTAATTTCTTATTTCGTATAATACTAATGCTTACATTTTACAACGCAACGTTTGAAATCCTTTAAATTTAATATTCATGGCACAGTTTAAATGTTTAAACTTAAAGGAACTAATTCAACTGTCAAATTGGGTTTTGTTCTGAGAAAATACCTTTTTAAATTAATTAAAACTTTGTACAATTTGTGAAGCATAATTGTTTTAGGGTAGCTATGCTGCAATTAGTGATGCCGCCGATACGAGAGATTCTCGCCTCTCGTCTCGTCTCGTCTCGTCTCGACGAGACGAGAGGGCGATTTTCTCTCGAAAAAAGGCTCGAGACGAGACGAGAGAATGCCCTCTCTCGCTCGAGAATTTCTCGTTTCTCTCGATCTCTCTCGTTCTCTCGATTATAAAAAACAATTTTTTTTTACATAAAAATTATAATTTTACACATAAATGACGATATTTATTTGGACCAATGAGAACATTATTCGCATTTCATAATAAAAAAAATTTGTTCCTGGTTAACGTTGTATTATTTTATAACACAACTTAACGTTAACCAAGAAAAAATTACTTATAAAATAATAATAATTTTTAAAATTTACCCTGTATAAGCACATCTATGGCACTCCTTATACTATTACAAAAACCCGTAGGCTTAATAAGCATTTCTTATTCAATAAACTTATCAACAACATGTGGTTTTTGAGGGCCTAATTACAAATTTGATATCCATTTTTTTTTAAATAAAATGGCTGATCCAATATGACGAAAATTCGTGGTTCGGCTTTAATGGTTTGGGTAAAATTTAGTATTCAGATATTTATGGGGTCCCTGATTCAGAATTTGATATCCATTAAAAAAAACAAAATTGCGGATTCAAAATGACTGACATGCGCAGTAGGTACAAGATGGTCGAATCTATGTGGAGTAGTTACATCATATATGCGCAGTAGTTTTCAGATGGATGGATCAAATGATTTGATCCATTAAAAACTACTGCGCCGATAGGACGACATTTCGAACATTTGTTATAAATTGTTTTCAGAGCCGACTATTGTTGATTTAATGTTCATTTTTGTTTTTCAAACGTTTCAAATAATACATTTTACAGGGAAACCCATTTTTCTTAAATTTTGAATTACAGCGCCATCTGTTGATAAATTGAAAAATTCATTTTTTTATGTACTACCAAAATCTGTAAAAAAATGGTTATCCCATTTGACTCTCCAAAGTTACCCCCCGTTTCACCCTTAAGGAGGGGTAGGGGATGGCTAGCGGTAGCACCAAATAATGTCCCCTTTGGTCACATTAACCTTTTATTTAAAACATTTTTCCGTGAAATGCGTATTTCTCGAGATATTGAGCTGTCTCAAGTTAAAAGAAACACCTATTATAGGTGTATAATACTAGATGTAACTACTCCAACATAGATCCAACCATTTGATTCAAATGCGCAACATTTTCGGCGTAAAAAGTCTTACTTTATTAGTGTGGTCTTGGCACACATTTTTTTTTATTTCCAGTTTAAATTTCTATATAATAGTATATTTTTCAGACTATACTTTTTCTACGTTTCCAAAAAATACCATAAAAAAATAATTTAATTGGAAGAAAGTGAGGTTGGATCGGTCTAAAGTTTGTTAGATATTAAAAACAGAGATGTCGCCACGAGTGTTTATTCTGTCATCCGATGATAGAATATTTCATTCTGTAACACTTTACGGAATATATGTCATTCCATAGATAAAAGTGATATTAGAACGGTCAAATTCCGTAATAGGAGTAAAAAAAAAAATATAAACGAATTCGTATTTCATTCCAAATAATTTTTGTATTCATACTTAGGTACTTTTACCACGAGAGAAACGAGACGAGACGAGAGAAAGGCACTCTCGAGCGAGAAAAGAGTATTCTCGACGAGACGAGAGACCCATTTTCTCTCGCTGCACGAGACGAGACGAGAGAAGGACTATTCTCGTCTCGTCTCGTCTCGCGGCATCACTAGCTGCAATGCAATGAAAGCAGATATTTTGTTAAATGTTGGATTTTAATTAGCTAACATTTTTTTATTTGTTTTGTGTAAAAATGTGGTATTGTAATGTGGCATGCTTAAATATTTTTATATTTGATATATTAATTTCATGCACGCAAAAACTATAATGAAGAAACTGAATGCGGATCGACGTCTATTCTGTAAACGTTGATTTATTCATGTTGCAGAAGGGAAAAACTAAGGAGCAAGAAGCGGCAGTCTTACCTTGAATAGAATTCCAATGCCGAGGTTCATAAATGGTTTAGTAAAGTCTATTACGCTCTCCCTTGCATAATTTATTGTCATGGAAGCCACAGCCAGATCTGCTCTCTGAAAACCAAAATCGTCCCTCAATTTGTCATCATATATCAGTGGAAAGATGATACAATATTATGAGGTTTTTATTTATTCACCCTTAATCTAATTTAACGACATAACATGTCTAAAATATATTGCACTGCTACATTAAGCCCGCATAATTTATTATTTTTAGTCTCGCAAATTTTTAACTAGATTGTTAACAAGGCTCTAAAAGTCATTCTTTAATATTTCATGAGCTTTCTCTCATGCAGGGTACATTTAAATTACTTTTTTAGCCTCAACTTATTACTATTAATATTTGACAAAAAAGTACCATAATAAAACTCAATAATGAAAAAAAATGTAATATAACGTGTTTTTTAATTGGTCAATATTATACTGAATATTTTTTATCTTAGTATTTTTATCTTTTTAATATCGGGTGGTGCATAATGAGCGATTTTAAAGAAATTTTAAGAGAACGTATACATCTGATAAATTTTTATAATATTACACAGGGCGCAAATCAAGGTTCAAGGTGTTAAAACGCAAATTTCTCGTGAAATAAAAGCTATTTTTAAATTTTTATTTTGATAGGACTTTTTAGGTGTCTCCATAAAAAGTCAAAAGGACTTCTTAAATGCTGTGGAACATAGCCTCTAAGCGAGTTAACAAATGGTTCTGGATGTTTTGTATTAAATGACTTTCCTAAAAATTAAATAAGTATAATTTAAAACAAAAATAAATAAGAATAATATTTTTTCAAAAACCCTCATAATTATAGATCACCAGATATAATTGAATTCTGAACTGTTTTCTCTGTAAAACAATATAAAATATAGTTTTTTAGGTAAATTCCCTATAGCGCCCAATTTTGTAATGCGTTCTTAATAGTATATTATGTATCAAGTTAGATAAACGCCATTTTAGGCAGGCATTTAATTTAGGCACAAATGCCTGCGAGCTAGTGCTTAATTAAATAAATGTCTAGAAAACTTTATAAACTATGTAGTTGCATACCATACTTTTTCTACGACAAATACTTATTATTGTTATCTAAAAATATTATCCAAAATTGCAATTTATTTTTAATTGTTCCATAAATAATAAAGATTTTAGTATATTGTGATTAAATAAATTACCTATTTTTCAGTTTTCACATTAATACCTTCATACTTATTTATTATGTATGCATGGATAATAGGTAGTATGTTTTGTAAGCTATGTGTATGCAGAATAACTATTACTCATGAAATAGTCTTGTCAATACCATTCGGGCATCTAATTTTTCCTGTGAAAAAATCGAAAAAACTCAATGCTAAGTAATATTTTTTAACAAAATGCATTCGTGCAGGTGCAAATATCCTCGTCTTCGACTCGGATTTTTGTTGCCACCAGCACTCATGCTTCTTGTTTAAACATTACTTAGCAACGTGTTTTTTCGATTTTTTTTTTCGGAAAAATTAGATGCCCTTATGATATTACTTACGAAAACATCTTATTATTAAACTGTATTAGACTAAATTTTATCCTGGCCGGATCTGGTATCCTATAATTATGCTCTGATAACAAGGGAATGGTTGGTTACCAATCACATAACTTTTGTACCAAAACAAGATAATCCCCCAGAATACCAAAGAATTGTGAAGGGCAGTGGCGGCTGGTGGATTTTATGTATAACAATATCTCAGTTATTAGATATAGACCCACCCCAAATTTATAATAGTTTATAATGACATTAAATAAACAAGTTCGGCGCAAACAGAATTTAAATTGAAGTTTGCGTAAAAAAGTTAGTTTTTCCTGTCCCCTCACCCGCCTCCAGGCCCCCCTATTTGAGATAATTCAAATTAAAGTGGTGCAATTTATTATCTACTATAATTTATCGACAAATTTAAAATTTTATTTAAAAAATCTAAATATTACAGATTTTATTCGATTTTAAATTTTTATTATTTATTTTATTAAAATAAAAAAATATTTAAAATGGTATAAAACCTGTAATATTTGGATTTTTTAAATAAAATTTTAAATTTGTTAATAAATTATAGTAGATAATAAATTGCACCACTTTAATTTAAATTATCTTAAATAGGGGGCCTGATGGCGGGTGAGGCGACAAGAAAAACTAATTTTTTTTCGCAAACTTCAATTTAAATTCTGTTTTCGCTGAACTTGTCTATTTAATGTCATTATAAACCGTTATAAATTTGGTGTGGGTCCCATGTCTAATAACTGAAATATTGATATACCCAAAATCCACCAGCCGCCACTGGTGAAGGGTACTGAGTAATAAAAAATATGACAATGTGAAGCACAAAACAAGGATCAGTTGCGGAGGCACATTTATCAAAAGGTATTTTCAATAAAATAAATTTTCGGTTTTATATATTTTTTTCAAAACCATTTCCAAACTTATTTAAATAATACTGTATTATTTAATTATTAAAATATAATAGCAGTTGTATAATTAAGGTTTAGGCACAAAAATTTGTTTATATTTATTGTTTTTTAAATATGCTAATAAAAATTATATTAAATTTTAAATGATATCCTACTACACCGGCTTTGAATTTTTGACAGTTTCAAAAAGTTTATGTTTTAAAAAACCTTTATAATCTCTAAAAAAAACATCAAAATGAGTTAAGAGTAATCAAAAATCAAAGGACACATACGAACATTGTTTTAAACAATTTATGGATTGGAAAACCAATAAATGTACAAATTCGTTTTACGAAAATATTGTTGTTTAGCGAACTAACTAATGAAAAGGCACCATCGACTCTTAGGAACATTTATTCGATGCTTCGTTCTACAATTACAATTAAACACAATATTAATATAGCAAATTATGCTAAATTATGAGAATTCCAAAAAATAAAATCTAAAGGATTTCAACCAAAAAAGTCTAAAACTTTGACAAAAGAGAAAATAGATAAATTAATCAACGATGCTTTGAATGATGTTTATCTGTATATAAGTACATTATTTAAAATATATGACTTTTATAGTAGTTGGTTCAATGGGTGCTTGTCGTAAGCATGAACCGTGGCAGATGAAGAGTGATTACATTCAGGATTTAGGTGCTGCAATTTTAATTCAGGTTTCTCTACACATAAACAAAAATTAAAAGAAAATTTTGTAAAATTTTTAAGAAATGTTGGGCATTACGACCTGTTCATGCTACAAGTAAAAACAAAGTTTTAAATTACTAAAAAGGAAGTTGCACCATTGGAATAAACAAATTTTGTAGTATGCCAAATCAGATAGCCACTTTATTGAAACTAGAAAACCCAAAACAATATACAGGGCATTGATAGTATATACGCTCCTCTGTAACAATGCTGGTCGATGCAGGTGCAGAGTCTGCACTGCAGACAACCATGTGGTTGGAAATCAAAACCGGTAGCTATTATGAAGACACTTTGCTGAATAGTAGAATGTCTGTTGCTAATAAAATATTAAGTGAAGTCACACAAACAAAACAAATTACATCTGCAAATAAGATCTAAAAAACGATAATGTTACTTCAGAAATGTTTGGCAATAATGCACCAGGATTTCATGTTACTAATTGTAATAATAACCAAATTACCGTAAACATTCTAAATAAAGAAAATGTAGAAAATAATAGCTGTTGACATAGATTACTTGTATAATTAGTTTTGTATTTGTTACAATGTTATTTGTTTTAGTTTGTGTAAACAACTATTTTAAATTATAATATTATAATAAAGATTTAGGCATACTTAACCTCTTAGGCATAATATTAAATTACAAGATAAACCATACCGGTCACAAAATAGTTTGAAAATACAAAAAAGTTAAATCAAAACTGTCAAAAACTGCCTGGTTTCTTTTCTTTGGTTAAAATTATATAATCGTTACAATTATTACGTGGTCGTAGAGAATATTATGTCTGAAACACGTTTGAAATATCCAACTCGTAAAACCATCAAACTCGCCTTCGGCTCGTGTGTCAAATTTTTCTCTAGAGCATAATATGCTGTATTCCAAACTTTGTACTCCTATTACGGAATATGATCATTCTAATATCACTTTTTAATGTTAAATGACTTATATTTCTTAAAGTATTACAGAATAAATTATTTTATCATCGGATGACGGAATAAACACTGGTGGCGACATCTCTGTTTTTAATATCTAACAAATTTTAGACCGATCCAATTAAATTATTTTTCTATGATATTTTTTAAAAACGTAGAAAAAGTATAGTCTGAAACATGTTTGGAATTGCATATTCCGCTCTCGTGAAAATTTTTACTCGAGCGGAATATGACGTATTCCAAACTTGTTCAGAATATACTATTTTAAATATGGGTTAAATATGCTATTTTTTTACTCATATTACGGAATATCACTTATTAATGTGGAATTACATATATTCCTTATTGTGGTAAATAATAAATTCATTCTATCATCGGATGACGCACACTGGTGGCGACATCTCCGTGTTTATTATCTAACAACTTTTGGACCGATCCAACCTTACCTTCTCGAAATTAAATTATTTTACTATGGTATTTTTTGAAAACATAGAAAAAGTATTAACTTAAACACATTTAGAATTGCATATATACAGGGTAAATCGGAAGGATCTCACCGAACTCCAAAAAAACTCAAATGTTCTTATCCGATTCTTGTTTTAAAGTTATAGGGAAATTAAAAAAAATAGGTTATAGCGAAATTTAAAAAAATAAATGATTATCTAATGTTATTTGATACAAAGTTTGTTTCCATAGTTTAAAAGGCTAGGTTAAACATATGGTTTACATTAAAATGCTTAAGTCTGTTTGTAACTGTTAGCGTCAGTGGTATATTTGTAATTTTTGAGTTAATTTTTTTTTTAATGACAAAAGTTTATTTATGGTAATATGGTTTTTGTTTATGACTTTTGTAATGGCAATACCACAGCTGCTTCCACAAGAGAGGGCTCCTAACACAAACGTGTTTATTAGAGTTTTTAACAGACTCTTTCAAGTGCTAAAATAATATCTGAAAAAGCTGATCGACAAACTTTAGAAGAAGTGGAAGATATAATACTATGCTATAGTTGAAACCTATTTTCAGCACAGCTTTCAGTAAATGTGTAGTGTGCTATGATTGCTGGGTGATTAATTGGCCCTTTTATCATGGAGAATGTCCTTATAGGGGAACACTATCTTATTTTTTTAATAGCTAGGATTACTAGAGAACGTAAAAAGGCGAATGTACTATCAGCATGATGGAGCCCCTGCACACTTTGCTCGTGAGGTCAAGCAACACTTGGATGAAATGTTTTCAGAGCGTTGGATTAGTCGCGGAAGTCCAATTAGTTGGCCTCCAAGAAGTCCAGATCTAACACCACTAGATTTCGTTTATTGGGTTGGTTTAAAACAAAAGTTTACAAAGTGAATAATCGAGAGGCACTTATTCAATGAATAATTATTATAATTAATACTGGCACAGTTCTTAAAGAAAAACAAGAGTGTATAGGACAAGCAACAACCGCTGTTCAACAAATGAAAATCTAATAAGAACATTTAAGTATTTTTATTATTTTGATGTGTAGAATGCAGTCCTGAAGTTAGGTGTGATCCTTCCGATTTACCCTGTATATATTTTACGTTTATAATATTTTTTTAAAAAGAATACTTTGTTTAAATTAAAAAAGGAAATAATAAAAACAACATATTTTTATATTTATGAATTTTATAGTTTTTTTAAGAATCTTATTTAATTTCGTTAATTTTTTTAAATTATAACATATGCATATTTTATGCTATTAAAGTAATAACCTTAACTAATAATAACCTTATTAAAAATATATATATTATATTAAAGTAAATTAAAATTAATTTTTTCCTTAAAAATATGTGGTAACTTGTCCGTAAGGACTATATTTAAATGGTTTTTATTACTTAGGGAAATATAGGAATCGTAAAAATTATATATTCCATTATAGGGGCTAAATGTAAAAAAATGTCTATCGCTATTCATACGACAATTTTTGGTATAGGCATTAAAACACAGGATTATTAATATTCGTTAGGCATTACACACCTTTTCCATAAGCTCTCTAACAATACCATTCCACTCTTTCTTGTCGGGATCGTATACGCCGTACATATTATCCGGCACCAGACGGATCGTGTATTGGAACCCCACCTGGCCGGCAATCCATTTCAATAGATCTATGCAGAAACCCTCGTAACGTGCGTTGCCTGTTAAATTCTTGTCGTTTTTTACCATTACGTAAGGACGTTCCTGCAATCAAAAATAAATTTTAATAATCGTCATTTCATTTTATTATCTAAATTTTGTTATAAAAGGCAGAATAAATATACTTCAGAAAAGAAATTTGTACCCCTTAGTTAGGGGCCCAACTCGTATAATGCTTCATAGCGACAAGTATGGATAACAATTTTTTCTGATCATTCATTTATAAATAACATAGGGGATTTTCTCCAAGTGGTTAATACACATATATCAGTTTCTGATCATACATATCAACATATCCCACTATGTAGATGAATTTCTTACCATTTTTTTTATAATAGGGGATCAAATGGTTTATAATAATTCTAAAAAAAGTAAAATTTAATTACTCACATAAGTTTTAACAATTAATACAATTAACAATTAAACAATTATTGTTGAGTTCTATACTGGCCGTTATTTAAAAAAAAAAAACATTACAATAATAACCGTATAATTAATGCAGAAAATATTAAAAAATAGGTCTGGAATAATAATAGAGCCAGGGCACAAAAAAAGAAAATATGCTTTTGTAAAAAGATTTAAAACGACGGCAATATAGAAACGGATCCTAAACCTATAGGAAACATATTGAGTATGAGTATGAGTATAAGAGACGTATAACCGGCCCCATTGCCTCATCGCTCCCGGGCCCCGCATAGGCCTCTGTTTCCTTGTGCTGATTTTCTTTCGCCACCAGCAACGGCGCGGCTTTACTCGTGTTTGCTGGTTGGGAATGTCCATTGCATCCCGTACTGTCCCCTAATTAGGACTCGAGAGCGAAATGCCAATAGTTTTAGTAGCCATTCCCGGGTTCGCCGAGCCGATGCTAAACGCCCAGTAGGTTCATGAAGGAGGTAGGACGGGAGGGATAGACAGTTTGGTGTTTGGGGGACAATTACGCCGACTCAAATCTAAGTACGACGCGATACCCCCCTAGACCAGGCAGTTAGTATTAGTCCAAACATTTGGGATTACTGCATGGAGTTCGGGAGTTGTTATTTTGCTGCAGGAGCCTAGGTCTTGGTATACGTTTTTGTCGTTATTGTTCGTGTCCAAGTAGGATTGTTCCTGCACATGTGTCTTGAGGCCGAAAACCTTCAATAGAGAGTTCAGTAAATTTCGATTGCGACGCTGGATACGTCTGAGGCGGCTAGTATTGTTTCCAATCCTGCCCAAAAGCCGTATTTACCGTGGTCGTTTAGGTACGCATTGATTTGTCATGTTTTATTACTTATATGCTCATAACGACTGCTTAATTCGTTTATTACGGTTATTACGTAAGTGATTGTTTAGTCTTTGTCTAGTCTCTGCTGTTGTTTCAGTTTCGCGTTGCGATTCTATCTCCGTGTTGAACAGCTTGTGTGGAATCGCTGCAGTTAGGCAGTTGCCAGTGGGGATATTTTTTTTTTTACTTTTAGTATCTAATGTGTTTACAAAATCCATTAGAGTTTGATTAGTGTGCTGTTTTTACTTTGTTTGGGTTTTCTTAATTTATTGAGTGTTAGTTTATGTTCTAATTGTCAAATGTTTATTTGGTCTCGTTTTCGTTAATCTTGGACTGTTTTGTTGACAGATTAATTGTCCTACTTAGCTTTGGTGTATGGCCGCGATAGCACTTAACCCATTCTTGACCGTAGAGTAGTATGTACTCAATGTAGTTGTTACACTATACTTTGTTTGCAATTAATGAGAAGTTATTTGTTGGATATGGTTTTTACGTTATATTTTTTAAGAGCTCGCGCTGCTACGATGCGTTTTACTCTGTCAAGTACTGGGACGTGACTAAACATATAGGAAACATATTCAATAATTTATTCGTTGATTGCGCTAAAAACTAAAAAAAAACGTATAAAATACAGCAAACAAAAACGGTAAAAAATGTTCCAGATAACCCATAGCATATTTCGCAATTAACAAACAGATTTTTTTCCTGAATCCAACCACCCCGCGAGCAATATTACAGTTGTGTAAAAAAAGGTCTAGTTGTATTGATATTCTGAGACACATTATAAACCTAGCCCGTGAATGTTAAGCCGCTCCCGTGTCAAATATTACCAATTTTCATCAAAATAGACCAGGGTCGATAATTTTTGAAACCAAAAAAAAAACCCATTGGAAAAGGAGGGGAATATAATAAAAATTAAAGGAAAAATAAATTACGGTGGATCTGAGTTCGGGAAGTGGGAGGGGGGGGTTTTAAGGGTAAAAAATGGTTTATCTCGATTTCCGGCAAAACTACAAGTCCTATGGAAAAAAGTTAAATGGCAAAGTTGTAGGTAATAAAAGGATCTACAACTTTTGTAATTACAATTTTTTTACATAACCTCAAAATTTATGTGAAAAATTCAAAAAACCAAGTTTTTGGTTTTTTATTTTTATCTTTTTCAAAAAAAAAAAAATTTTTCCACGAAATTTGGTGAAAACTTACCTTTTTATGTCCCAAATACACTGTAATTTATTTGATTTGAAATATTTATTATTTCGCCTTATTTTGACTTAATATCAAAAAAGCACCCTAATTTTCAATCGAAAATTCTCGCGTCAAAATATCAGCTTTTTTCAAAAAGTCGGTGTGCTTTTTGTTCGTTGAAATTTCTACTTTCTGATGGTGTAAAAATTATATACATTACTATGGTAAATGTTCTCAGAAAATGCAAAAAATATTATAATGAATAACGAAAAAAACTCGAATTCGAAAATTTATTTTAATCATTATGTACAATTTCATCAAAAAAATGTGATTGTTGCAATTTTTTTAGTTAAAAAGTTTATTTATTAAATTCTAATAACATTTATGTCAGAAAATCTCATAAAATATAAAAATACATGTAAATCATACTATTGAATTAAGATACTTCATTCTGATTACGTTATTCATTATAATATGTTTTGTATTTTCTGAGAACATTTACCATAGTAATGTATATTTTCTTTACACCATCAGAAAGTAGAGAGTTCATCGAACAAAAAGCACACCGACTTTTTGAAAAAAGCTGATATTTTGACGCGAGAATTTTCGATTGAAAATTAGGGTGCTTTTTTGATATTAGGTCAAATTAAGGCGAAATAATAAATATTTCAAATCAAATAAATTACAGTGTATTTGGGACATAAAAAGGTAAGTTTTCACCAAATTTCGTGGAAATTTTTTTTTTTTTTTAAGATAAAAATAAAAAACCAAAAACTTGGTTTTTTGAATTTTTCACATAAATTTTGAGGTTATGTGAAAAAATTGTAAATAGATCTTTTTATTACCTACAACTTTAACATTTAACTTTTTTCCATAGGACTTGTAGTTTTGCCGGAAATCGAGATAAACCATTTTTTACCCTTAAACCCCCCCCCTCCCACTTCCCGAACTAAGATCGCCCGTAATTTAGTTTTCCTTTAATTTTTATTATATTTTCCTTCTTTTACAATGGGTTTCATGCTACTGTTATTTTTTTTTCTCTTTTTACCATTTTTAAAGGCTTCTGCACTGGTCTAAAATAGCAACACAGCTATTTGCTTTTATTGTCGAATTAAAGCTAAATACAACATATTTTATACAATTATCAGCTCAGTCAGACATGCCTATGCATAGGTAAACTTTTTAAATGTATGCAGGGTCATTTATACCAGAAGGCAAAAAATTAAAACTCATTTTTGAGATTGGATTTGATGACAAGTTCACTTCCTAATTAGAAACTTTAATGTAAAGTTTAATTACACTCAGACATTGATGACAGGAGTCACCCTGCCAAAACGGCAAGGAATGAAGTGAAGCGTTTATTATCATACGCAGATTAAAATTGCATAAAACTCCTGTCTGGCACGTTCAGCATTTAATTGAAATAATGAATCTAAATGTTAAACTTTAGACAGTAAAAATTATAAAATGTACTTTTATAAACTCATTATTTGTATATTGGTATACTGGAAAATTAAGAGCAAAAATATGATTTACACTGAAAGAAATATATACTAAAGTTAAATAAAAAAATAATTAGGGCAAATATATTTTATGTTTCATATATGGACTACCACATACATTGCTAAAACAAATATATTCGTTTGGTTAGCAGCCTATTGCTGCCCTAGCAATATAAATGTGTTTCTAGCAATATTTTTTTGCTGTAATTCACTTATAGTTTACATTTTATAGTAAGGGTAAGTTTATTTTTATTTAGATCTAACATATCTTCTTTACAATAAATGTATTACAAAATTTAACATACATTCATAATAAACAGTAGTATAAATGTGTAAAGCACTAGTATAAAATTTTTAATATAAATTTGTATTTACTTTTAGCAACAAATTTCTTTCAGTGTAGCAATATAAACAAGTGAAAAAATTAAACCCTTTAAGGCATGCATCTGAGTAATTTTAAAAAAGAAATTAGCTATCTAAAAAAAGTAATTTATATTGCCAAATCTCGAGGGCTAAAAATATCCTAATAAATCAAATTTTTCTTGGAAGCTAATTATTAGTGACGGGTTTACTTGCAGGAGTCGTTGTGATAAATTGTTTTCCTGTTAAACAACGTTTAATAAATCTTCGCCAATTTATTAATTACATTACTCAAGTTAAAGAAAAAATTCATTCAGACGATAAAAGCACATTATAAAAGTTTATATTTAAGATAAAAATATTATCATTAAATATTACAGTACCCACTCAAATTAGCTTAAATAAATTAATATAAGCATTTCAAATTTTTGATGAAAGAAATCCAAGTGGTGCTTTAAAGAAATGTTCAATTTAATTCAGACAGCATAAGGGAGCATAAATCATTAACGGCCAATTTTAGCTTTGTCGCCCTTCGCTGTATTCTTTTATCGTCTGAAATATATTTAGCACACTTTTTTATGCATAAGGTATCCTCTAATAAAAAAAGTGTTTTGCATATAAAATATTTAAAAAATATTAAACAAAATTACCGACTAAAAATTGTATTACATAATATACAGGGTGAATCGGAAGGATCGTACTAAACTCTAGGACTGCATTCTACACATCAAAAT